ATGGCAGCACAGCCCTCTGGGGTATTGGCTACTCCTCCCAGTTTTGTGTCATCAGCAAACTTGCTGAGGGAAAATTAAATTCTATTATATCCCTCTATTGCTATTTAATGTTCTTTGCCATTCCCTGACTCAGACTGAAGCAGAGATATGATGTGTTCCTGCCAAAAATTATTCCTTTCCCTGTTTCGGGGGAGGAGTACGGTTGGGCTGTGCGCTGGCGTTCGCCCTCTCCTGTCCCAGTGACATTTGCCACCCGTCTCGTGCAGAGATGGGGGGCAAGAAGTTTAACTAGGCAATGCTGAAGGGTATGGGAATGATTAATTCCTCTGAAACTGCACTAGTTCTTAGCTTTTTGAGTGCTTTAACGCATTTAATGCTTACTTTCATGTTTAGTATCAAGTACTTGCACTGTTTGCACTGACAGAGTTTTATGTATGTGTTCTTCCACGGGTACAGCAACCTCCAGGTGCCATTTAGAAGGAAACGCTTTCAAGAACAGCCTTGTCAAGCCATCCCTTTAAGAAACTGATTCTCAAAGGATTCAGAACCCAACCCTCCTCTTACAGATATGTAAGCATCTATACAAAACCAACTCTGCGAGCAAGTTTTACATACATAGAGTGTCTATTACCTACCCATGTAAATCTCAACATACTCAGAAAGTCAGTGTACAAGTAGACACATAAGACAACTGCTTTCTGAAAGCTACATGGCAGATACAAAAGCTTCCTCTCTCTACACTCTATAAAACATCCCACCTGCTAGTCCTTTCTTCGTCTTTTTTGTCTGGCTTTAAAGGGTTTCTTCAGTACAGGCCTTCAGAATTTAGTAGCAGTTTAAATTTAGATAATAATTAAATAAAAGTCCAGAAACAATAGTAAAATGGTATCCTTAAGATGGTACCATGCTGTTATATCCAAAATTGAGATTAAGGAGTCATATAGACTTACTTAATGTTCATTATGGAAGGCACTCTGTTTTTACAATAATTCTGAACTGTAAGAAAGTTCTTTCAAAAATATCACATGCTAGAATCACTGCTATAATCTATTTCTTAAACGTATCAGATTTTGAATCAACATGTTAATAAACAAAATTGTAACGCGCTTAAGAGCACAAAGAAATATTGATCTAAACTTATTATATATTAGCAAAAAGTGATCACTCTGGCTCTTAAGCCAAAACAGAGCTATTTTATTAGGTGTTTCTTTCTCTTGCAGTCTGATTTACAAGAAACAAGCTGCTGCACAAAAGCTCTTCGTCCACAACCTGATGGCAGTTTATTCATCCAAGTTAAAAGTTTGACTTTCTGTAAGTGTGGCAAGAGACACAGCGGATGATTGCTGCTGTGGTCAAAACCACCACCAGCCTCTGCTGTTATGGCAACCACTATTGAAACAGCCCCATTATTTTTCTACAATTGCTTTCAGTCTCTCCTACCATAAAGCAGCACAGGAGAGAAGCAATTTTCAAGAACTTGTGCATAAAAGGCTGCCCTTGAAATGCTGTGCTCTGTACGACTGCACTGGAGCTGAGGCCATCCGCAAAGCGAAACCCGGTCTATGAAACCTTGCAGAGTTGTCAGTAATCACAGAAAAGCAAAGCAGAGGCACGCTTGTCATTTAACTCGAGAATTGAGCCAAACAGGAATTGCTCACAAATGCACAACTATATTAAAGGCAGTCACGGCAGACTAAGTGCTTACCAGCAGATTGCTAGACACTTAGAAATCTTTTTCTCCTACTCTTCTCAAGGGGGTACTTAACAAGTCCTCACAAGGGACTCCATCCTGCTCCCTTTTCACAGATATTTTCTAAGTGATTTCAGAAGGAGCACACTGAACCTAAAGGTTTCATATGCGGCAGGCCATTAACCTAACCTTTGCTTATGCCATGATCACATTTTCCTCCAGGGTGCTTCAGTCTGCATCGAAACAAACTGTGGACTTCACTATAAAATTTGTAGCAAAGAAGTAGAATGTTTATAAAGCCTTAGCTAATACTGTGACTCAAGTAATGATTAAAAAAGTAATCAGATGTTCTATTAGACGAGACTCCGAACTGATATGAGGCACTTTGAACCATAATAAAAGAAAGCACATTTGTTAATACGACAGCTAATTTAGTCACTGAAAACCAGAAAGAAATAGAAATAACACGACAAAGTTCATTTTAGAAAAAATATTTAGTTTTATTGTAGTTGCTACTTAATGGGATTATAAAACACTTTGGTAATACTGGTTTCTGGTAGGAAATTGTGCATCTCAAGTTGCTAGCCTATTTTTGTGTGTGTGTATATATATATATGTATACACACACCCCTACATATCTGTGTGCATGCATATATGTATAAACTAAAAAAGGTTTTATCCCAATATAATGCAGGAGAATAAACAAATGTGTTCCAAGATACTTCAGTTTTCATGCAAGTTTTTCTTGTGTCCTCAGGAAGACTTTACTCTTAACAGCTCCGCTCAGCTGAATCAGTCTGTTTAAAGAGCAGGGATGTTGTGCAAAGGGTCACAAGGATCAAGGACCAGTTACCAAGCAGAAGTGGTTTCTTTTCCCTGCAATAGCCTGCACATGAGCTGAATCTCATGAAGAGTTCTTAGCTTACAAAGTGATGGATGTGCTTGCAAGAAACTGCTGTTCTACAGTTTCTCTGTGAATACTCCTTTAACACCTTCCTTGCACTATATACAGTAAAGTTATGCCTTAGATTTTTACAAGGAAGTTGTTTGTTTGTACAAAAATTAAATTGTTTGTACAAAGAAACACAGATCACAATACCTTTTATTAAAATGGTTGCAGAAAAATCAAAGAACTGAAAAGATATTTTTAAAAATTAAAATAGGAATAAAGGAAAAGGAAAAAGAAAATATTACTTCATTTTAATTAAGAGTAACTACCAAAACATTGTTAGTAAAGATATGAACATTTTGCTACAAATATGTATTATTCTAGAGCACAAACACAGAAAGCTAAATATGCTGCTGGGCAAAGAGAAAAGGATATAATCAAAGCTTGGGATGGGATTAGAATACTAAGATTACTATGAGAGCTATCTACCTTTTCTTATGCCTGCTGATCCTATATATTGAATGTTCTTCTACACTCAACTGGACATCAAAATGAAAAGGGGCAAATTCATGTTTAACAATTTTTTTTCCTCCTCCCAACTTAACTAAAACATGCCAACAAACACAGCCACCTTTTATTGCTTTTCACTCATTCTTGAAATTACTTTTTTCCTGTCTTCACTTCTCTTTCCACAGAATTTCATCCATTTATTCCAAGAGAGGAAGAGGAGAGGGAAGAAGGGAGAAAAAAAAAAAAAAAGCCAGCTTCATTCTGTCCTCCCCTGGACACTTTGGCTTGTCTCTCTGTCTCCCCTCTACCTCTACCTGGCTTCCTGCTCCTCCTCCTTTTCTACATAGCAGCTACAGAAGTTTCTTACCTCCATTTGTGCCAATGTCACATCCCATCTCCTGCTGTCCACCAAGGTATTCTTCTCCCCTTTCTCTTCTTGTCTCTCACTCTTCTGTAGTTCTCTGTTATCGCAATAAAACCATGCTGTTCTCCTTATGTCAGTTCCCTACTTGACCTCTTTTGCCTCTCCAATTGCTGCTTCCTCTCTCTCGCCTCTACCGTTTCACTGAATGATTTGATTCTAGCCACCAACTACCTCTTCTTATGCCTTTCCAGACCCTCTCCTGCATCAGGCATTACCCTGCAACAGCTCTTAAGGTACCTTTTGGGGTACTAATTAGGACCAGTGTGAATTCCTTAACCTGCTGGTTGCTACTAATGTGTCAGTGACTATCATCCTTTTTGATGCCTAGGTTTCCCTTTGTGCCCATTGCTCTGTCCACTCCTCATTCTTCTCTAATCTCTTCTTCAGCATGTTGGCAGATAGAGCTTCTCTTACCCTATCAGTTTCTACTGGACTTGAGTGATGTCTTTTGTCCTCTTCTCCTTATCTCTGGCATTCTCATCTGCAAACACAAATTCAGTTATCATCTATTTCTATGCAGAAAACTTACCGGTCTACCTCTATCATTGTCTATTCAGTATGAAATCTCAGTCTGACTTCTGTCTGTGACATTTTGTCATCAACTCAGACTAGCCATGGCTATGAGAACACTAAGTATTCCTACCGAGGCCATCCTTGCTATGTCCATCCTTCCCTGCTGCAGACAACAGCCTCCCCTGCTGTTCCAGCTTACTGGCCACTACCATCTTGAACTTTACATTCCTTATTTTTTTTTTAAATACAGCATTTTGTATTTCAACTCACCTTTAAATTCTCAGTTTCATATGTGGTTACTGCAATATCTTTTTTTATTGGCCTTTTATCGACCTTTTATAACTTCTCTTTTCCTTCCCTGTCCTACCTTGGTCACGTCAGGAGAGTCAGCTGCCAACTCCAGCTCTCCAGCAGCACCAACTTCTAGGTGTTTTCAGTCATGCACTTCCACAATTTCTTCCTGATACCTTGTAGCTCAATATAGATATCAGCAAAGCTACATTTTTTTCCTTTTTTTTCCTGAAGCTGCCTATATGCAGTTAGTATTTTATATACGAATTACTATCTACTTGGGGCATCAACCATCTTCACAACGCATCTATGTAAGGCAACGTCCAGCACGACGGTCCTTAACTGAAGCTTCCCGATACCATCATAACACAGAGTAAATCCTGGGGACGTTTTGACACCCTTCAGCCCAGCTCATCCATCCTTCCCCTGCTGCAACAGCTCCAACACACAACTGGGTGTGCGCCGTGGAATGGCTGGAATTGGGAAACCCCAACGGGAGCGCAGCGCCCGCCGCAGCAGCTCTCTTCCCCGCATCCCGCTGCGGGAACGCCAGCACCTCCCCGGTGCCTCCTCGTGCAGAACCTGCCTCCTGAGCGACTCGCTTGGCAAAAATCACCCAGAGCTCGGGACGCAGAAGCCACCCGCGGAGCACGGGGGCCCGAGCGAGCTCCCGGGGCACTCACCGGGGCGCGGGGCGGGCTCGGCGCCGTCGCCCTGCGGCGGGCTCTCCGAGTCCGTGTTGGTCAGCCAGGTGGACTCGGTCTCCCGCGTCCAGCTCTCGTAGTAGCGCGGCTCGATGGCGTCGGCG